AAACGTGTTTGCATCCGCAGAGACTGAAGGGCTGCCGGGCTGGCTGAGCACCTGCGAGGAGGAGAGGGCTGCTCCCCCCGGCGCTGCTCGCCCCGGCTCCCCACGGGGATGAGTGCCGCCGGGAAGCCGGCTGCTACACCCCGAAGCCCTTCAGCAGCCCTCGAGGAGGTCTTTGATCTGCAGGCAATCCCTGATCTCCTCCAGGCAGAGAGAGGCTTTTACCTCTGCCTTTCCAGGAAAAACAGAAGGCGCAGAGATGGAGCGAGCAAGCTGGGGATGACATGATGGAGCACGCGAGCTGGGAACACAGTGATGGAGCAAGCGAACCAGGGATGCAGTGATGGAGCAAGAAAGATGGGGACACGATGGAGCAAGTCAGCTGGGGATGCAGTGATGGAGCAAGCAAGCCAGGGACAGAGGAAAGCGAGGTTCCTTGGGCTCAGGACTTCAGTCCAGCCTGGGACGTAAACAGGCTCGTGCCACAGAGCACACCGGCAAAGGCTGCGCCATGGCAAAGCTCCTGGTGCAAGTGTGGGATGAGCATCTTCTCCCAGGCTTGACACAGATGTCCCTCCGCAGCCTGGCCCCATCCTGCCCTTCATCCCAGCCCTGGTGCCTGGGAGCTGCCTGTCTTTGCGCTATACAGACGATCGTCCTGGCTCAGAGCCGGGGCGCGGGGAAGCAGCCGGCCCCGAGGCAGGGTACCCAGCACCAGGGGTCAGGCGTCCAGCACCAGCCCACTCACCCACCGGCCGGCGTGTGAAATCGGGTGGGGGGCTCAGCCGACCCCTGTGTGGTTTTGTCCCTCGCAGGTTTATGACATGGAACACACGTTCTTCAGCCGCGGCGAGAAGAAGAAGATTGTGATGGAGATCGACCCGCTGGCCAGAACAGAGACCTTCAGGAGCGGGAACGGCAGTGAGGAAATCCTGGAGATCCATGACTTCAAAAACGTGAGTGCAGCAGGGTTTGTCCCCCGGAGCCAGCCTGCCGTCTTGCAGCAGGACCAACGGGATCCCTTAGAACCCACGGGGTCGCTGGAGCAAGGCCTAGGACGACCAGGGAGAGAAATGCCCACATGCAGACTCTCTAGGGATGCTCTCAAAGGAAAGGAGATGTGTATCTACATAAGCTTCCACCAGTATTTAACAGTGGCATGGTTCAGTTCCAGTGAAATACATCTTAAAAGCAAGACCTAGTTATTGGATTTACCCTTGCAAAAGAACGCAATCATCATAAATCTAACCGAGCCCAGTACATTTGTCTGTCTGGAGAGCATTAAAACCTCGTGACAATGTTGTAGGCTCTCTCTGAAACCTAATTA